AGATTAAATACGAAAATGAAATGGAGTGTTAGACAAATGGTGGGTATGCGAGTACACAAGTATGTGGCACAGGTCACCATGGCGTGTTCGTACGCAGAAAGAAAAGAGTAAGGATGTAAGCTATAATTGGATGTTGATATAGTTATCATAATACGAGTACATACATTCATATGTGTTGCTTCATAAAACCATACAAATCTTACCCGATACTATCAATTGGTTAGCAAGGATTAGGGCACATTTGCTTTTCGCGCTTCCATATGGGAGAATATTTTACAAATCGTGCGGAATTGAAACAAAAAATGTAAATTTTCTAAAAGACACTAACATCTTTTTAATACATACTATTTTTTATTACTTTAATAATATTTTTTTTATGTTCATATATTATTAAATTTTTTAAAATTTCTCGGAAATTTAGTCGACACTTCTATCGCGAATTATTAAAAAAAATTCAGAAATTCGTACTACAGGCTTTGGCAAACTTAGTCATGGAGCGATACGCATTTCAACAAAGCGAAAAAGTGGGCCAAATGATGATGCCGATTTTACAAAAAAGAAAAATCATCATAAGCGATGAGTTATGTTTTCACCTAAACAGTAAGCAAAACTGCACGCGCTGTAAAAAAAAAAATATGCACTCAAAACGAGTCACTGTTTGATGTGCTTTTTGTGATTTGTACGAGGAGGTTTTCGCGGTCACTAGTTACGTATCCGCTGTCAGAAATGCAAAATTCAAAATGGTGGATCCAGTATAGCGTCTGGTAAATTTCGAGTTTTTAATTAGATTTCTTAGACAGATTTGGGTATGCAGTCTTATAGCACACTCAATTTCAGTGTCACAAAGTGCAAGTTGGAAATGAATAGCTAGGACTTACCGCTGATTTTTGAAAAAATTTTTTGATTGACGGGGTCAGTTACGAAGTGTATCCGATGATAAGAGGAAAATGACTAACCTCATCAACAAAAAAAAAAAAAAAACAAAAAATAAACCATATCTAAGTCCCAGATACTTTAAACTTGCACTTTTTTATACTAAGATTAAAGGGGCAAGAAAACTGCGTACTCAAAATCTTTCTGCAAAATGTAATAAAAAATCTCGAAACTTGTCCATACAGGCGCAGCGTATTAAAAAAAAAAAAGGGCATTACAATTTCTGAGGCACATTAAAGCAGCTGAATTTTATTTTATTCAGTAGCTAATACTTTTCTTCGTAACCCCCAATAGGCTTAAAGGCAGCATCCTTAACAACTCAAATTTTGTGAAGAAAAAAAAAATACTATTATATTTCTATTTCTAAAAAAATGTGTTACAGTGTCGATATTCACAAATTTTTTTGCGTATTTTATAAGCCTTTAAGCGTAGATTTCACTTTGTTTTGTTGGATTTCCCTTACCCAAAATACTTTTACACGCTTATAACTTTCTCCTTTAAATTGTTGTGCTGGGGCAAAGACCACATTCCGACTGAAAATATAGAGGGACTTGGGCTACAGGCCGTAACTGCGAACGGTTTTTGCTTCTTTGACAATCGTTTTAGCCAACTTAATGATGAAAAAGTGTTAACTGAGAACTTTTCTTTTTTAATTTTGGCTAATTTGGCTTTTGTGTTTCGGCCGCACAGTGGGACGGTGTCATTTGCGCAGCAAACAATGGCCTCATTGCATAGTGAATTATGAAGACAAAAAAGATGTACAACTTGAAAAATAATGACCCATATGTAATAAATCGACACGCGAGTACAAATTATTTATAGACCTTAACATATCACCGTCTCGCGCTTGTTTGCATGTGCTCACTTTTTTTTGTTTGCTGCTTAATGCGGCTTTTGCATGTTAATATTTACTAGTGTTCGCCCAGCGGTTGAAATTCAACCGATAAAATTAAGGA